CCACCCGCCTGCCCCGGGAGAAGCCGCTGCCGCGGCCGCGGCCGCTCACGCGCTGGCAGCAGTTCGCGCGCCTCAAGGGCATCCGCCCCAGGAAGAAGACCAACCTGGTGTGGGACGACGCGAGCGGCCAGTGGCGCCGCCGCTGGGGCTACCAGCGCGCCCGGGACGACACCAAAGAGTGGCTCATCGAGGTGCCCGGCGGCGCCGACCCCCTGGAGGACCAGTTCGCCAAGCGGATGGAAGCCAAGAAGGAACGCGTGGCCAAGAACGAGCTGAACCGCCTGCGCAACCTGGCCCGCGCGCACAAGCAGCAGCTGCCCAGCGCCGCCGGCCTGCGCCCCACCGGCCACCAGAGTAAGGAGGAGCTGGGCCGCGCCATGCACGTGGCCAAGGTGTCCACCGCCTCCCTGGGGCGCTTCCAGGAGCGCCTGCCCAAGGAGAAGGCACCCCGGGGCGCCGGCAAGAAGAGGAAGTTTCAACCCCTTTTCGGAGACTTTGCAGCCGAGAAAAAGAGCCAGTTGGAGCTACTTCGCGTGATGAATAGCAAGAAGCCCCAGTTGGACGTGACCAGGGCCACCAATAAGCAGATGAGGGAGGAGGACCAGGAGGAGGCCGCCAAGAGGAGGAAAATGAGCCAGAAGAGCAAAAGGAAAGGGGGCCGGCAGGGGCCCGGGGGCAAGAGGAAGGGCGGTGGTAGCGGCCCCCCCAAGAGGAAAGGAGGCTTGGGCGGCAAGATGCATTCCAGGCAACCTGGCGCGGGTGGCAAGAGGAAAGGAGGGCAGCAGCAAGGAGGGAAGGGGAGGAAGTGATCCTCTCCCCCCTGACTGGTCTGGAAAGCCGGGAGAGGACCGCATACATACTTAAGTACTGTATATGGGGAGTTGGAGGAGGGTGACCCTCCCCTCCAGAGAATGTTAATATGGGGCTGTACTGTTCATCCACCATTAACACTTTGGTTGACTTTGGCTGGATGTATTTGAGCACATATGAATGGGGGGCAAATTGCTGGGAACTGGGAATTCTTTAATAGCCATCTTTACCTTTCTTCATTGTAACTTTCTGTACGGGGTGAGACTTGGTCCTATTTGAGAGATTTCACAGTTATTTTTAACAGTAAACTTTTAATGAAAGAGTGCCTGTACTCGCGTTGCTTATAACTCTTCGACTGTTGGTAGAAATGGTACTTGAAGCCTGTGGTCCAGATTCCCAGTATAGGGTATTTTTGTATATTTTCTAAAACCAAAGCAGTTAAATTTATAATGGTTTCATCAAGGTCACTTTTACTTAAAAAAAACTAAACCGTTCTTTTTTATTTAATAAACATACTAAAAACAGTGCAACTGGCGTAAGAAAAGACTTTATGCCTTCCAACATTGAACACATTCCTGTAAATAATAACTTGGAACTACACTACAAATAATGGTGATTGGCTGTGTTTGTAACCTCAAGTTTTTCAAGTAGAGTCTGCTTTGTGGGAAAAGAGATCCATAAAGTCTTTATTAGCTGAGACATCACCTTTTCACTTTCACTTGTCTCGTTAACTTGTACTTTTTTTGTGGGGGAGGGGGGAGGCAGGGTCGTGGGGCCTGAACTCTGGGCCTGCGCACTGTCCCTCAGCTCTTCAGCTCAAGGCTAGCACTCTACCACTTGAGCCACAGTGCCACTTCTGGCTTTTTTCTTTTTGCTTATGTGGTGCTG